TTTCTCGGATTACATTTCGGTTCTACCGATCCTGAATACATTTATGATGTTAAAACCAGAGGACATTTTGAAGCTCTTGCTTCTGCATCTCGATTCTGAAGCTCGGCGTATTTAACGCCCTGATTCTTCGCGAGAAGCCCACCCTGAAGGATACATTCCTGGCTCTCGATTAGCATTGGGGAATGCGTATAAACACATACACTTCCCGTTACGAATTCACTCAGATGAAGCAACCACCCGGCGATCATGTGGACAACTTTATCTCCCGTTGTTGAGTAGCTCTCCGGAAATCAAGACGACTGGGACGCGATCACTAAGTCGTTTGTTAAGAGTACGCTTGCATATTTATAGTGTATATACACTATTTACGAAAGTCCGCTCCAGTGGCCCATACTTGTTACTTGCATTCGGTCGCTGGCTCCATTTCCATTGGCTTACACTTGTTCGCAACGTTCCTTCTGTCTAAACTTGAGCTGCGTTGCTGTCTTTCTGGGTGGATTGTACGGTTGGCTCGGTTGCTCACTCGTCCATCAGGCCGCACGCTTCTTCCCTCGGTCCAACACCACCGCAAACACTGACTCAAGTGCACACCAATACGCTCCTCACGGGTACGCCCTTCTTCGTCTGTGCTTTTGGAACCTGCTGGCGCCTGATTGGTTACCTGCACACTCAGTGGATGTTTGCTGACTGTATTTGCAGAGCCTGATGCGGGCGTGCGCCGACCATTTTTTACTCGGCTGACCAATCTGCTTCCGATGACATGCTCAGTTTCCATCGAGCTGGGTTGCACCTGTCTGGTACTCTGTGAAATACCGAGTGGCGTTCTATTGGCCATCTGCCTACCGGTACCATAGTATTTTCACTCACCAGCAGTTTCAAACCCCAGCACACCCGTCTTGCCCGTTCCGTGCAAAATTGTGATTATGACAGTGTTACCTAGAAGTAGTTGGGAGAAACGATAATTTTACAGAAACTGATCTCCGGCTAGTCCGATTCTACGATCAAAGATAGCCTGTTAATGGAGGATGCTGAGAATCTCTCATGAGACCCGGCTTGTGACACAGCTCGTAAGAAGGTCGAAGTTAGCGAACAAATTAAAATTCTGTTTTCGCCGTTTCGTCTACTGAGTTTGATTGCTTGTAGTCTTCACCATCTGCTACTATATCCATAAGTGGAAGCAAGTGTTGCCGCTGTGGAAAAGCTGAACATTGCACAAATAGTCACATATGTCCAGCCATGAATGCAATTTGCCGAAACTGCAGTAAGTCCGGACATTTTGCCAGAGTCTGTCCTTCCCTTACTATCTTTCGTATTGACCCTTCTACAATTAGCTTTTCGGCGTCCCCGGCCATGGTAGAGCAGACAATCTTTGACATATGTGAGAGTAAATGTTCGATTTCTTGTTCCACTAAGCAGCCTAAATTGCCTTCCCCAGGTATTCGCATTGTGTTTTTGAATGTGTATGTTAGAGACATTCGTTTAGATGTGGGACTAGATTCTGCGTCACCCATTACAATGGTTTCATACGGCTTTCACAAACAGTTGCTCTATCGTTCACCTGTGCATCAGCCAGTGTACACTTTCAGTAGCTACTCCAATGGTCCTGTGCAATTTGTGGGCACAGTTACATTTCTAGCATTTCTTAGAGACAGCAAAGAGTATGCAATTAAAATCTACGTTTCTAAGACTGACAGTAAGTTTCTTCTGGGATGATGAATAGACATCTATTAGTCCCGCGCGACCTCGAAGCTTTAAACGAGCCAGCCAATCGGACCGCACACATCCGGCTACTGATTGGAATCCAATCAGCCAGAGCAGCTTCAGCCCGGGGACTCAGCGCAATGCCAACACCAGCTTGGCCGGTGCTCGAAGCCGCATCCTCTTCGGATAGGTGCAACGAGAAAATACTGCTTGCGTCCCCAGAAGGGGATCGCAGAGTGAGCACAGTGCCCGAGTCTTGCAGGCGAGTCTCTGATAAGCAGCAGATATCGATCGAGAGGGTCTCAAATGTTCGGGCAAGTGCTGCCTGTTGACCGATTTGTAGCAGTGTGCGTACATTGAGGCATGCCAATCTGAAGGAGGATCGAGGGCTCCAAATGGAAGCCGATGAACTGGAATGGACCGCTTGGTTGGACATGGGCTTGTCGACAGGAGAGGAGTGACGCTCCGCGTTCACATATGAGTTGAAATTAGAAGGTAAATGCCTAGCAAAGCACGTTGGGGGAGGGCCAAGAATCGGGGGGTTGAAAACTGGGGTAATATAAGTGAAGTTGGAAGGGGACGGTAAGAGTGAAAAAGCGTAAGAGGGGAATAAGAAGACGGGAAGGCTTGAGCAGTAGCATCCAAACCCCTATCCACCCTGCTTGATGCAGCAGACAGAGCACCGGGGATTATCATCTGCGGTGGCCAGAGCAACAAGAAATTGTTTGAAGTAAGATTCATAGGATTGCGTTGGCAGGATAATGTCAGGTTGTCCAGGTCTAGACAGGAAAACCATTAGGGCTCTCAACCAAAGCCTTTGGTTCAAAAACCTGACCGCAAGGCAGCGGGTTTGGCGGTGGGCTACAGGGAGTTCGTTTTAAGGAATAAGGTGCCACCCTCATTCCAACCCCCAACCTGGAGAACCAGGAGGCTGTTTGTCTGGCCTCTAACCATTGACCAATCTGGTATGAGTGACTCTGAAGGTGCAAAAGCACCACCCAGCGTAGCTCAATGGATCGCTGAGGCACACAAACCATCGCATCACGGTAAGGTCCAGCCTCAATGCGATGGTTGTCCGCGTTCGGCGGTTGTGAAATCGCTTTCCTGACCATCTGTGTAATTGCAATTGTTGGTGACGCAGACACCGGGACCCAGAACAATTGACGTTTGTCCGATTTATGTAAATGTATGTGCCGTAGTTGTTGCGGTCCAACTTTGTTTTGATTTCTGGAGCACTGGCTACGTGTCACTCAAGGTTCAATCGGTGGAAGCTACAATCCCATTGCTTTCTATTCCGAATACACTTTGGGATAAACCTTCAGTAGTATACCCATGTTCAGGTCACACGATGACCACATTGCCACAAGTTACAGATGCACTCGTTCTGAATTAACTGCGAAGAGTAAGACCATGCTATGGTAGGTTGCCGTAATTAAATGGAAACTGATAGGAGGCGTACCAAACGTTTACCTCGATAGGACGAGCCTATCAGGATGCCCTGCGTACCGAACTTTCACCCTCTCGTCTTAAATACACTGAGCTACAATGGAACAGAATCTCAGTCGCTATGCACGATGCATCACTATCAATCGTCAGCACACCAGTCACTGGATATCCGAGAGGTCAGTGAACGTGTTGGAATCAAAAAGAAAACCCGGCTGGCTCTGACCACAACGTAACCAGGCAGACTATTAGCCGCGAACGAATACAGACCCTGTGTGCTGGCAAGGAAGCTTGGGGGACCAATCGGACTCAAGAAATGGAAGAGATTGAAGTAGTTGACCATTAAGGCAGGCTCATCCAGTTGGTCCGCGTCACCAGTCCCAGAAAACCAAGAGTCAGCGAGACGCGGATGCACTGATTCACCAGAAGGAGCGAAGTACGTCTGGTTGGGCGGAACATTTCAGCTGCTCCCGTTTCTGGTCCCCTTCCTATTCTGTTGGCACAGACCGAGCCACGGCCGGTTGGTAAAGAACTTACGTCGGAGGGTGAAGTCAGAGAAGCGATCGCAGTCCTCAGTCGTTTTCGTGTTGCTGACCCGGATTCCCTCGCACCTGCGCAACATAAGCCTGGTGGTGAGGTATTCTGTAAATCACTTACCTCCATGTTCGAACAGGTTTGGAAGAATGACGCCATCCCAGTTTACTGGGATGAATCGATTATGGTGGCAATATACAAGAAGAGTATTCGCACTGACTGTGTTAAACACAAGGATGTTATCCTAACGCCGGTGATAAAAAATATTACTGGCCTTGATTCTCGTTCGTCGCCTCACTGCAGGACGCAAAGCCCGGACTAGAGAAGAACATGCAGGCTTCCGTCCAGTACGCGGCTGTATAGACCGCATACTCACTTTGCAGCAGGTGCTGAGCAACGCCACGCATACCGGTAATAGCTGTGTTGCGCGACTACAAGAGTGCGTTCGACTCAGTCGATCAATCCACTCAGTTCGTCACACTTGTGCGGAAAGATGTCCTTATGAAATATGCGAACATTTTACGTACCCTGTAGTCGAACATCACAGGTCTACGATGATTTATCGGATATACCTTTCCGGCAACAAGCGACGTTCTTCAGGATCATCCAGGCACTTCATTTTTGTTCAACTTCGTCGTGCACTCCATCATGAAGTATTCCCTTGGGGAATCGCATGATGCAGGCGTTGAGGTGCTGCCTGGTAAGAGTTAATTGATCTTGATTATGCGGACGACATCGGCTTGCTGTTTAACAATGTTGGGCTGGCACAGTCAACCTTGATTCGATTGTTTAGCATACGTTTCGCAAGTTCAAAGTGAAAATCGTTGTTGCAGAGACAGTAACTACTTGACGACCCCATGAGAGCAAGGAACTCGAGGTAGTCGATCACTCCACTTGGCAGCTGCATCAGCAACGATGAACGCGTAAACACTGAAGTCAGTTCACGTACTGCAGAAGCTAGAACTGTCTTCTTGAATCTGCGACATTTGTAGCGTCATAAAGGGGCTTCCCTCGGTCTGAAAGGCCGTGGTTACAAGGCCACAGTGAGGACCATCCTGCTCTATGGGAGTGAAACGGCCTGAATGTTTGTTTAGGACATCAAAGTTTTACGGTAGGCCCTCCTTTCCTCCCCATGTTATTATTTTTCGCTCCTTAGGTCACCGTCGTTGTACGGCAGCGAAGCATCAGTTCAAATGGCTGATGCACTGCTGTTGATAATGATGATGTTAGGTGGAGGACACTAGTCATGCGGATCGGCTGGCAGTGCAGTTGTTACATCACCGGATGAAGTAAGTAACGAGGTAATTCTGGTGACAGGACAAAACGATTTAGTCGTGAAGTTGATAACAGATTGACATTTGCCTTCCAAATTAGAGCAACTTGCCAAACGAGAAGTACGCGAATAATCGAGGTGGTTGGAAGAACCTGGATTCCAAATCTGATGCCAGAAAAAGTATAGGCTTTGGTATATCACGAAGCAGATCATATTCTCAGACACAGCCTGTAAAAGTTCCAGCGCATTGAAATTGTGTGGAGTGATAGCACACGTATAGTGTGCGATATCAAACCGAATGATGCGGCTAAAACACAAGGGAGGACAGTGCAACCCCAGAAGAGAGGAAAAACTTCCACAGTAGCTAAAGTGAGATGGAAAAGAATGTGGCTTCCAAAGTGGCACATCAGGAGATTGACGGGCGGATTTTATAGCGAAAACATGAAGAAAATAATGAAGTCCGGAAGAAAAGGACGCACACGAGAGAAAATAAAAACAACCTTAGCAATAAATAAAAGTAGCCACAAGAAAATATACAAAAATAAACATCGCATTCGATAAGCTGGGTAGGGGATCCTGAACAGGAGACCCAGAGGATAGCTGAAAGTCTGGTGGGAGTGATGCGCCGAGAAAAGATTGGTTACCGCAACAAATGTGCCCTAACATGCTGAAACACAGGCATTAGGTCACATTGAAGTCATTGATGTTGAAGCAGCAAATGAAGAGACTGCAAGAAGAGCTGTACAAAACAAAAGGAAAACTTAATTACAGGTTGTCTCGCAGCTGGAGAACGATTTTGTTGCTGAAAGCCATGTACATGGAGTTGCGTTGGTGTGATAAAAAGCGCACACATAGACAGTGTGCGAATGCGTATGTACAGAGGAACCGGTTGAAAAACATTACGGGATAGGCGAGCATTGCAGAGACTGCAAGGAATCTGCAGCCGATGTGTGGCATGGTGAGAGACGTTACAGGGCAGTCTTCAAATCACAGTTGTTGCCATCACGCGGAGTGGGAGTTGGTGTAACGAGCTGATCAGTGAATGACATAAGGATATATGATTACTGAAAGCACAGATCAAGAAGAAAATGAAGTGTTCATGTGAGAAGAACAACCTAAAGAGTACACTTATTAATCACAAACAGAAACAAGTGATGGAACCGGTTCAGGAAAGCTATCATCCTCCCCCGTTCATGCACGCAGAATTCGGCGCACCGTTACTAGCCGTCCATTTTGAGTAGTTAATCCGTGTAATTTTCGCAACACTAGGGATTGTACCTTTGAAAGCACAATCGCAAGACTGTGATGATTGTAGGTTCGTTAAGCGAACCGTCGCAGGGGCACTTAACTCAACAGACTAACATGCAATGCAACGGGAGCATAGCACGCTAGATGGACTGGGATCCGGCTGCTGCTGTAGATGTCCTTTTAACCATCGCAACCACATCCAACAGAAGGTGAATTAGTGTAAATGTACGGCTTATCGATCATGAGGTGCATGACTTGGGACTGTTGATAGTTAGTCAATAAGTGAGGGATGCAGTTGCGCATTTATTCTCCGAGGTTGACAGTGTGGTTGCATACATCTCACCACCACACGAGGTGGGATCGTCAGTGCAGTGTGATCCACCTGCTTCCTGCTAGAGACATTCTGAGACACTGGTGTCTTGTTCCAAACAAGACAATCTTGTGCTTCGTACATCGTTGTTTCACATGATTGAATCTTGAGCGAGGATAACTGATTGCCACATCTTAACTTCCTACACGAGACCGAGTTTGTCTGACCTTCAACCATTAAGCTAGCTTGTATGAATGGCGCTGAATGAAATCAGGAGGCAGCATTCAACGGAGCACAAAAGCATGCAAGCCATTACAGCAGGTCAAGGTTCAGGGTTTTCGTGTTGAATTTGGCTAAAACAGTTCAAAAGTCAAATGGTCACGACAATCCAAAATATCTCCCATCTTAAAACCCTCAGTATCTGGTATTCACAGAGTACAAAGTGGCCACAAACACACTTGGACACTATGGAGAATATACCTGTAGCTCGAGGTGTGGATGAGCGAGTGGTTCTGTTCTCCGAGCGCACACTTAGACATTAAAATAGCGTTAAACAGAATGATGATAGTATGTTGCAGAATAAGCCCTATGTGAACTCGGGCGGACTTCAAGAACTTCGACGCTGTCTCTGCTCTAAGCTACAAAAAATACCTGGCAGAATGAGATGGGCGGTGGAGAAGGAATAACTAGCAAAGTAGGTGGGGAGTAGAAATGAGGAACTTTGCGGGTTTAAGGAACCTCGCTACAACTTAGGTGATAGACAATGGAGGGCAGAGCAAGCGGAAAAGCCAATAAAACGGAGGCAAAAGTAATCAACCAACTAAGAACCGAAAAGTTTCTAAACAATACCAGTAAAGCGAAACGGAAAGCACGTGTCGCGAAACAACCTACTCTCTTCTCAATATTTTCTGATTGCGCAGGTAGCTGATCGTTGCGCAACATCACAGTAGTGCTGCATGTTGGCCGCGTCACCACAGGTAAAGTGTGCCCCGAAGACACAGGGAGATCCGCTACGGAAACATCCACTTCGATGACCAAAGGAATGGTATCGTCACCAGAGGCCTGTGTATCCGCTGGTTCCTCCGCGACTGGACTGCTTGTGTCATCCTCTTCATCATCATCCCAGATCTCAAACCGAGTAGCAACAGGAGGGAGGATGGGTATTGGATGACTGGCGGGAGGCACACGGACCAAGGGATAACAGGAAATATGCGAGCGAGGCACAAGTCCATGTGTACCATCCGCTTTTTCAGCCATCATCCATTCCGGTTCACCAGCCGGCTCCCTATCCACAATAGTCAACGGTTCGTTGGGGTAAATTGGTAGCTCGTCGGCTTGAATATAAGCATCCGCAGAACCCGCGCCAGCCGCTTCCAATCCACGAGGAAACAACGCGTAAACCCGACCAGATGCAGCAGACCCGAGTCGCTCCTGTTGAACTGAACGTGATCAACATGAGGTGATTTTAGTTTCAAGGTGCATAAAGTGACCCACCTATTGGCTAAAAATAATCCCAGAATATGGCTCGTTACATGGGAATACTGGTGAACACTATAATATGAAAGTAGAACAGATACACTCGGTTTGAGGTGATATGTTGTGAAGTTGGGCAGGAAAAAGTTGCAAGATCCCAAGGATTGGTTCAGTTTGACGACAGCAAAGTGACCAAGTGTAATGCATCACAACATCAGAAGCCACTGTGAGCAAAAAAGGAGGCAGATGTAGTGACACACAAGTGAAAACAGTATACAAACCAGAGTTGAAATGTAAGCCTGTAACCGAGCAGAATGCGAGTAACCGATGCGGTTGAGAAAACGAAACACGACTGCATGGGGATAACACAAAATGAACTCACAGAAAAGGTATTCCTCACACTCTGCCTCATCATCGCCCTGGTCGCATTTTTCCAGCGGAGTTTCGTGATCCGATAGAGTACGAGCGTGTAGAGATGCTCCGTGTTCGACCAAAAGGCGTGCCAATGTGAGATTGGCGCATGAGGCAGCACAGTGCAAAGGAGTCCAACCATCAGTGTCTCCAGCGTTTACATCCGCTCCAGCAGTACGCACCAGAAAATCAGCTATATCAGTGCGGCCTGCGCAAACGGCGTTGTGGAGGGCAGTAATACCCTCATCGTTGGGCTCTGAGACATCGGTAACCTTGAGCAACAAATCAGAAACACAGGAGTAGCGATAGATATGTATAATGTTGGATCAATGGACATGAGTCATCGGAAAGCTGCAACGTATTCGGAAAAAAACGGGAAACTTGTATGAAGAGCGTTGTATGCTATGGGGACAAGGAGCAGAGCGGGCAACAACAGTGGTGTACTCTAGTTCAATTGGCTGAAAGAACGTATGAAGTGAATTCGGTCTGCACATATTTCAATTCACTTCACTCTGTATCTTTATGCCACCTCGCTGGACGGTCACTTCGCGACTTCCCCTTATTAAGTGCAACCAAAGTGAACAACGCGTTCAGAGGTAGGTGATCAACGATATAAGATGAACGTAAAAGACCAAAGGCAAGCAGCTAAATTTCAACCGGCAATACAGTGACGAACCGGAGGATCTGCTACGAAACACCAGTGTTATTCCAATGCCCGACGACGCGAGAATACAACCGATACACCATCTGTTAGACAGCACCAGCCGCACAGAGTCGTCTTACTGAAAACAAATGACGCAGCGTAGCAAACGTACACATGTGTATGACAAACGAACAGTGAGCCCGATCACTGGAACTACAACCGTTTGAATTTGGAAACGTGGGACTTTTAAATCGGCCGTCACTTTTTTCGTCGAACATCTACCGCCGAAGTAGTAATTTTGCATGAATGATCTGATAGATTCTTTGCGCAAACAATTTTCAAGTTTACTGGATCGGTTCTACTTGATCCACCTATTGAATACAAAGACTAAGAGAATGCATATGATTCCCTATTTATTGCTTCTGGATACGAAATTTTTAACTGATACCAGTTATGAAGAAAAGTTTTAATAAAACTGCCCTGTTAACTGGATGCAAAAAATGCCGAACATTTCGTTCAGCATTGTGCGATTGTTGCTTTGGAAAGCCGGCAATCTACTCGAATGATGACAGTGCATCATGTCTATCGTTTGTTGCATTTTTATGGTACTCGCAATTTAGTCCATCTGCTGCAGATAAAGTGTTAAGTGTTGAAAATGCATCAAATTGGATATATACAGCTTATTTTGACGTGATTTCCCTTGCATTCCGCTTACGAGGTCCATCTTCTGTTGGTCCACTTGTCGATGAGCAGCTGGACAGAAACCAATGGAGTATATTATGATTTACCATATATACACCATACACTGTTAGTGTTGTGAGACTGAGACTGTATTTAAGAGCAAGTATAAAAGTTTCTGTACAACTCTAGCGAAGTATGAAGAATCAAAAACATTTAATTGCGAAGTGTCAGCGGTACTGTTTGTTCAGTTACTCGTTTATTTGCTGTTCGGTTAGGAATTCGTATTTGTGTCATTATTTCCGTGTAAAGAATGCATTCTTTTGCACTGTATGTGGCCAAGTAGGATTACTTGTTAAATCGTCACACTGTTTTCACCCACATCCAAGAGTCCATCGATGAGCCCCTGGAGGAAGTCACTATCGTGATAATAACGTGTCTGAGGGTTTTCATCTTTTGACGCTGGTACGTGGAAGACCATGAGATTATGACGCCTCAGCGAAATCGGTGATGAACCTGTGAGAGCAGGACTAGAGGCGCTAATCGGTTTGGGTTGTTGTTTATCAGCAGGGGACGCCGGAACTCTATTACTTGGCCCCTTGCGCTTTTGAGTGGTCCATGGATCATAGGTTCACAGACAGGTTCTGCGAGATTCACGAACAGACCAGTGAAGCGGCATTTCGTAGGTTCCGAGTCTGAGTCTTCGGTGGGGAACATAGAACTTGAGGATCGGCCGGCTTCGAAGACGCTGGTGGTGGTGCAGATCGCGGAGTGACAAGGGAAGGCGAGGTGCCAGAGATACTTCACCAGGGCGTTTGACCCCACGTGGTGAACGGTTTGTTTCCGCCTGGAAGAGAGGTTTTCCCGTAGTTGTTGGCGGTCGCTGTGTATGTTGATGTCTTGCACCGCGACATTTACCATATATAACTTGGAAAAACTGATGTCGGATGTGGAGAGACTCTCGAAACACGTCAACGGATAAGATAATGCACGAAATATGGAACAAAACATCGCAGCCGAAGCACCGAAGTGCATGAGCCTTATGTCCAACAACTTTCGAACACGAACCACAACTAGCTTGAGACGGCATCACAAGGTAGAGCAAACCCAAGACAGCGGACAAAGATGGCGATTGGGCCAATCAATGAGATCTCCGGAAGTAGGCAAAGAATATCCATCAAGCTTTTCCCGATTAAAAAATACACTAAAATAAGAATATTGGTGCACAATTCACACAGAAAAACACTTATAACACAGTAATCCAAAGTAAAGTAGTATCCAGCACGCGGTGATTCAAAAATCCGCGCCGTCCGTGGGTACAGCCAAGTTGTAATGACGTGCAAGAAGCATGTCGTTAAAACTTCCATTCAGCACCGCCAGAGAAGTGTGCCGACAGTCAGTGCCTTGTGATTTTGTCGCATACATGGGTTAGAATCTTTCGGATTCCGTACTACCGAAAAAGCAGTCGCATCGAGTAACGGACTCCGGTACTCTTTACACGAAGGGCTCAAGTTCTGGACTTGCATATGCAACCACCATTGTGTCACATACACTAACTTCTCATCGACAGATGGGCCTCGTATGGCCCAAGTTAGCTGACTTCTGTGTGGCGGAAAGATAATATCTACCGAAATAGTTTGATTCGAATTTTGCGAGTCGACAGAGATGTGCATGTCGCTTGGGTGCAAGTGATGTATTCAAATACACTGCCAAATTACAAAAGCGACGCCCACAGCCCAGACAACTACCGTGCATGAGCATATTTGTTCACCAAGGATCACACTGCACCAGTGCCAGAAGTAGGTCCACCGAACAGATCCAACAGAACCTTTGCTTTGATCGCCTCTTCGTTTAACGGACAAACATGAGTAGTATGTAACTGGTCTATAAAACTGACATCCTCTGAGACATCCTTTCTCCCAGTGTCATAATAAAAATTACGACCTAGAATTACCGTCCGAATGCGAAAAACCATAGTGCCCTTTAGAAGCTGCTGGAAACATCTTCCTGAAATATTCCATCCGATACACATCCTCCAGATAGCCAGCCCGGATGACGTGAACAGTCCCATCGGTTTCTACGGTCGGATGCGCAATCGAATTTCCCGCATATCCAGACCAGTTAGAAATGATGACTTCAGAAAGAATATGAGTCCTACCTCTCCATAATCATGAAGGAGACCAGGGTCACTAACCATGTCCGGATGATGTTCATTGTGACAAGCATAAGAAATCTACGAATTATCATCTTATATCACTTTGTTCTAGCGTCCCTCAGCAAGAGAGTATCGTGTAAAGTTTCACCGGGCAGTTTAGTTTTGCAGACACCTAGCTAACATAGTAGGCAGCAGCGCCAGTACAACTTCTGGGGAAGTGGCTGAAGTTTCTCGTGTCCTTCACAGGAGGTGTAAGGGCTCCTATTCGCTTCGTCCACTTAGTCTAATGCGATGCACAGACGGAAGTTGGTTGATTAGTCACCTTCGTCACCACCCTGCTTGAGGCAGATGGCTGGCCTGACCCACAGTGCAACTGATAATGCCTCCATTTCCAAGTATGTATTGATCGAACAGAGCCCCGGATTTGAGGTTTCGAAGAACCCAAGTTCACGTCGCTCTTGCAAGTATCAGTACATCCTCATGAAATAAGCGGCCGCATCGTGCTACCTGATACATAGTGTCCCAGAATTGGGTCGCTCAGGGACAAGCATTCCTTCAGCAAAATCAACTCAGAGAAAGCTACAGCATGTTTGACATGCAGAATGCCTCGGTATATGTCAGCCGTGCAATTCCATGAAGTTCCTCCCATGACTAACCTAAGCAAACGATGAAAAACTCACCGTAGTGCACATGAACATCCGTCAACCACTGTCCAATGTGTAATTCCGTCGTGTTTGTTTCCCATTAGCCGCCTGACTCGCTCCTTTGGCCCATATGTTCAAGCTGATGGAACATTCCAATCACATCCTTCTTTTTCGCGTCTTTGCATCTCTACATTTCTAAGAATTCCGTACACTCTGCCACTCTGTGTTGTCTTCGGTTTCACTGCTCCTGTGTCGTCACCACACGCTATATGGCACTCTGTTCCTGGTCGACTCTGTACTCAGTCTTTTGATTGTTCTACTCAAACATCAATTTCATATGACCCTGTAGTGAACTTGCCGATCCTAACTCCTTTCCTCTACCCTAATTGAAAAGCAGGTACTGGTTTAACCCATACTTTCTACCCCAATGTCAGTTCAGATAGCTAATCACCTTCCTAAGTTGCTTCGTAGTTTTCGATATTGGGACGAAAATAGGCGTAAAACGATGACAGATGCCAGAGGTACAGGTGTTGCACTTGGTTCAGACCGATATCACCCGAAGGGGTGTTGTGATCCTTCAGAGTTCCTATAGCCTTTGGTAACAGTCGCCAGACTTGCTACACTGCCGAATTCGTCTTTCCAATTGACTGGATATGATATGGTCCGGATTGTCAGTGCGCAAATGCACAAATGTCCTGAATAAGTATCGAATTAGACAGATATCCGGGTTGGGTAAACGCTCACTGGGCACAGTGGATGTCAACTGGTCGCATATTCACCGAACGTTATGAGCAGCAGACATGTTTTCATGTGGCAAATCAAACTGCCAAACTGGACATTGGGTCTCTATGCAGCCTCTGGAACTTTTGAATGCTTGCTGATACATTCCGCCTGGAAGTGAACACAACCAGACTCGCAAAGACCTGCAAGTGAAACTGCGTGCTAGCCTGAAGAGTGACCGCGAAGCATGGTGGTCTCATCATGCACCGGAGATGGAAATGGCTGTGCTCTTGGTAATTTGAAAAGCACGGAAAGAAGACGAAGGCTGGTAGATGCATGCATTTCGTATTGTCTCCAGAGGCTATTTATAGTTTATATTACTCGCGAGTAGCTGGAGTTTTAGATGTAATCTTTTGAGATATTCATCCCATA